TCACTACTATAATTTCCTGATAATTGTTTGGATAGATATGCACAAATAATTGTTTTTGTTATATGATTTGAGCGATCAATATCTATGAGCTGGTAACAGATATATGTGACGAAAATTATGGGATGTTTATCACATGTAATAAACATCAAAACTTTCGATTACAAAAATACAATAACATTAAAATCAAATCTACATGTACCAATAACTATAAATGGACAAAAAATGTTTACATTCACAATTTCATGTACCTTTTTATCACATGTGAAAAAAAGCCCAAAATATCATTCATGAAAATTAATGGCATCACACTATTATCGTATCTTCCTCGTCATTATCAGAACTGTTTTCAAAAAAGTTTTCTTCAAAAAAACAAACTTGAGAAAAGCCCCCAGAATCGTCGTTCGAATAATTGGATCATGTACAAACTTCCTTACCAATAACATTCAAGTCCTCCATTCTAGATCGACAAAAATATGGATAGTATGAACGATATGAAGAAAAGGAGATAAGAAAGTCGATTGTCAACCTACTGTGAACGATCTGGAGAAGAAAATTAGATAAGAAAACCAACCAGAGAAAAAATCGTGGATACGTGATCAACCAAAGGGATAATTACAATTAATTAAAATAAAATAAAAATTATAAAAATTACTTAATTACATTACTGTTCTTATTAATTTATTTATATTTAATATAAGTTAATTTATTAGTTAAAAAAGTTTGAGGTTATTGGGTTGTTCTCACGTTCTCGTAAATCATAGGGGTTCTCGTTTGAACCTCCCACACATACACACACACACACATATATATATATATATATATATATATATATATATATATATATATATATATATATATATATATAAGTTAGGTTCGATGAAAACTACATTTTTTTAAGAAATGTGAAAAATAAAAACCTGATATAATATACGTAAAAAATATAAAGTGTTGTAGATGACCGTTTTCGAAGAAAACTAGTGAATATACACGTTCATATGCTATAACAAAGTAACATTTACAGCAAAATGCAAGGTAACATTAATTTATAAAATATACTTGCTCTCACTGCATCACCCGTTTTTCGATAATTTTTATATATACAACAAAGGGAGAATGGAAAGCGCCGATTGGGTCATCTTTTTCGAAGAGCGAGAAAGTCATATACGACTGTTAACACCCACGCAAATTAATACGTAGTCATATCGAAATTTGAAGAAGCCTTCTTCCACTTTCCTTCATCTCCATCATTAATGCACACACTTATTTAATGAATCAAAGTCGTACTTTAAATAAAAGTTACATAAATGGTCCTTGTATTGATTACATACTCCATTTTTGGTCCCTTTTAGATAATTAACTTTTCTCATTCTCTCTAAATGCACTTTTTTGAACCAAATTGGTTTGTTTTTTGTGGAAACCTTGGCACCTCTTTGTCATCTGTAACACGTTTTCTAGCACTAGTCATGTACCCATCATAGTTGGTTTTACTTTATGTATAACCGTTAATTATTGATCAAGGTAAGTGATTTAGAAAACAATATTAATTGTTCTAAATTATCTTTGACTCACGAATACTTGCATTCTAACACATAATTCTATAAACAAACACCAATATTAACAGAATCTGACCGTTACTCCTATTAGAATTGATCTAATTACTCCTATAATTATCTAGTGTTCACTTCAATCCAAACACAAATGATTTATTGATATAGTCTTATAGTATTAATCAAATTTGTGTTTCTCTTGTGTATTCGTGTTTCACATTGTATGCATAATGATTCCCTTTCTCATCTTTTTTCAATGTATATTTGCTAATTAAGGTTTCATTGTTCATCATGGATATTATATATTGATCTAGGGATTTATTAGGATCACTAGTCATTTATGACGTAGATGTTGTATACTAGACATAATCATTGTATGTCGAGCATTATGTAAACAACTTTCAACCTTATAAACCTCATCACCTAGAAATGATATTCACTTCTTGTAAGATCTCATGGGTTTATATGTATGTAATTAAAGTGTTCAATTGAACACAAGTGTACACACCCAAAACTATTTTTTTTTTTTGGTTAATGATAAAGATAAGACACAATCATATTTATATATAGCTTGTTTCCTATGAAACATAGTCATATTCAACAGAGCATCACCATATTCGAAGTACTCGCATTGAGATCTAATATGAGGAAGAATAAACTAGAAGCAAGATAAAAGTGTCATCGATCGAGCTAGTGTTTTAGCACTGAGACTAGTAGCATGCATGAATACATATATAGTCAGTCTTTTAATAGTCTATGATTTCTTCTACCCTATTTTTTTTTACTAGTTGACGTTAAAGTTGATAGGGTTCATGTTTATGATATCAGCGTTGACATTGTTTTCACTAACTTTGATGTATGATGCAATGCAACGTTTTGATCTACATTACCTCTCGTAGTTAAATCAACAATTTATCTTAAACTTTAAGTATTATATATATATATATATATGTGTGTGTGTGTGTGTGTGTATGTGTGTGTGAGAGAGAGAGAGAGAGAGGGGCAGGGAGAGAGTAACTTGGAACATTTGACGATTATGACTTAAGTTACTGACATGTCTTTGTCTATGGGAATTTGCATACAATCTTACATGGTTAATCGTCTGTAGCCGCCAAACATTTCTAATGTTGACAATGCTTCATTTTTTTCAATATCATCTTTAAAACACTCTTGTATCATGTAATTAGGCTATTCAAAATGATCCCTCCTGTATCAAATCTTTAGATGCATTAGCAATGAACTTATTCAATTCTTTTGTCGAGTCTTACATGAAAATGTGAAGATTGATATATATTAAAGTGGTTGTTGTTGAAATGATATTTGGAAAGTACAAACTTCTATTGGAAAGTTCTAAATAGTATTTGTTCTAACAATTAGGCTTGATTTGAACGTTGTACCTTACACAACAGTACGATGCATATAATTTCCCTAATGAAGTTGGATTAATGGCGTTAACGTATAAGACTAACTTTGTGAAAACATTGTTTATTCAACACAATAATTAAAGAAAATTTTGTTAGAGGACTAAAATTACAACATAGTTATTAGTCCATGGATCATTTATGCAATTTGCCTTACCTTCTTCCAAGACCCACCGTGGATGGATCGAGTCCATGCTTCTTTATTGACTTCGATAATTTCATTGGAGGTACTCTAAGTTTTATAAAATATAAGTTTATACCCAATTTGACATATTCAATTACAATCTCTACTTGAACATCAAGTTGTGTGCTCTCTATGACTTCATACATTATTGATTCTAACCATCATACCTAAATTCTAATCCTAAATCTTAAATCCTGTAGAAATAAAAATATAAAGTATTTTATCTAAAGATGTAATAAGTTCATAAAACTTTTTTAACAAGTTTTTTTGGAACATTTTTAATAGAAAGCCTCCCTAGCTATTTTGTAGGACAGTTTTAGAATAAAGTGTTCTATATAAACTCTTATTTTCATAAAACATTTTTTCAAATAGTGTCATATAAAGTAATTATATGACGTTTTTTATTTTATAAAAATGTTTTAAAATAATTGTTAGGATTTCCAAAAATGTTGTATAAGTTTATTACAATGTCTTTAAATATGAAATTTTATTTTTTAGTCCATAAATTAAATCTTATAATAAAGCAATTTATTAAGAAGTTTATAAAAATTTGACATACTATAAATCTCTCGATCAAACTTGAAATTATTAATTTTAATAATATGGGTAAATTAATGGATAAAATATAAAGTAAGAATAACATAAAATGATGCCGTATTTTTGTGATATTTTGAAATAGACAGTGTTCCACTTTCTTCATCTCAAAAATAAGTGTGAGAAATTTACATAAATAATCAAAGTTGATAGGTAGTTTCACTTGTTAATCAATTTATAACTCAAATTCACTTTTTAGTCAATTTTTACCCGTTCATGTTCATGCATATACATAACAAATGGTAATTTGGCAAAAAAGAATCTTTACACATATGCATAAGGGATCTTTGTAAGAATTCCACATTTTAAGTAAGTATTCCACTATCTACTCAAAGATTCTTATTTTTTTTTACCTAAAACCAATTCTTATGCATATGCATAAGCTTTCTGTGTAAAGATTGGCTAAAAATAAATTTGAGTCAAAAAATAGTTAAAAGTTGAAAGTTTAATTGTTGATTGGCTATTTTTTCAAATTGTCAATAAGTAGTGTCCACATTTTATTTTAGTTTGTTTCAAAATAAGCTTTTAATTTCCAAAATAAAATGTTTATTTTCAAATTATACCATTACTATGAGATGGGAAATTGAACACTCTATCTATTTTTAAGAATTGTCTTTTAGTTAATAAAAAAATATACAGTAATTAAATATTTCTAAAACTGTGAGTCTATTTTCAATATAAAATTTTATTTTGGGACAGAAACAAGTAAATGAATACAAATCACTTGTCCCCAAAACTTAATGTTATTTTCTTGTTTTATCAATCAAATCAACTTCAAACATATCATTACTTTATTTAATTTAATTTTTTATTCTCTATTTTGAGTAAAATGATAATGAGTCAAAGCTCAATTGATATGTACAAAAAACACTCCGAATTTGAAAGTTATCATTTAGTATGTAAGTTTCCATGCCAAGGCTCAATCCAATTAAGTCTGTAGTATCTGAATTCGAATCCTATTGATGGAGTCTAGGAACAAATTATTTTGTATTTATAAATAACATGGTTCTAATTTTAATTGGGTGTAAACTTTGAGGACTCTAAAGCAATTATCCCCTTATGACCCTCCCTCCTCTTAATGATCCCAATGTTGACTTTCTCTTTGATGCAACTCCACTCCTTTCTCACTTGTTATAAGAACCAAATTGGAGTTGCTACACATAACTCCAAACCAATCTTTAATTGATCACCACGAACGGGACCAGAAGTAGGATTTGAACTCCAAATCTGGTTTTAATCTTCATGAGCTTGAATATGGGCGTCGAAATTGAAGTTCCATCACATTTTCTATGCCCAATCTCCATGCAACTCATGAGAGATCCAGTCACAATATCAACTGGAATCACCTATGATCGGGTGAGCATAGAAAGATGGTTGTTTACTTGCCTTAGTCGGATTTGTCCGATGACAAAACAACCCTTGTACGACACCGATCTAACCCCTAACCACACCCTTCGCCGGTTGATCCAGTCGTGGTGCATCATGAACTCACACCATGGGTTCGATCGGATCCCCACACCAAAGAAACCAGTGGATAAGTCTCAGATCCTCAAGCTTCTCCAAGATGCGAAAAAGCACCCACAAAACCAGATCAAATGCTTGAGAAGAATGAGATCCATTGCCCAATCGAGCGATCGGAATAAAACTTGCATGGAGGATTCTGGTGCGGTGGAGTTTTTGACGACGGTGGTACTGAATGAAGATGGTAGTGACGCGTGTAATGAAGCATTGATCGTGCTTCATCATCTTAAATTCACAGATCTCCAGATGAGAAAGCTCGTGAAAGATAATGAATTGGGATTCGTTGACGCATTATTGCGTGTCATGAGATGTGGGAGCATCCAGTCTCGATCGCATGCAATAATGCTGATAAGATCGCTCCTCGAGGTGGCAGATCCAGTGCATATGGCCGCCATTAAACCTGATCTTTTCCAAGAAACAGTAAGAGTCTTGAAAGATGGTATTTCCCCACAAACCACCAAAGCTTCACTGGAGCTCGTAGTAGATATCCTCAGGTGGGGAAGAAACCGAATAAAGGCGGCAGAATCCGGCATGGTTTCAGTTCTGGTAGAGCTTCTGATCGACACCTGTGACAGACGGGGATGCGAGCTGATGCTGGTGGCGTTGGAGCAGATATGCCGGTGTGCGGAAGGGCGAGCGAAGTTGGTGGAGCATGCGGCGGGGCTGGCGACAGTTTCGAAAAAGATCTTGAGGGTTTCCCATATGGCAAGTGATAAGGCAGTGAGAATAGTGTGTTTGGTGTGTAGGTTTTCTGCTAGTTGTAGGGTTGTTCAGGAGATGGTGGAAGTGGGTGTTGTTTCAAAGCTGTGTTTGATGATTCAAGTGGATTGTAGTGAGAGGACGAAGGAGAGAGTGAAGCAAATTCTGGGATTACATTCAAGGGTTTGGAAGGGTGCTTCTTGTATTCCTGCTCATTTGCTTTCATCTTATCCTTCATTACAAGATATTAAGGATCATTAATCACTTTACTACGTTGTTATTAGTAATTCTTTTTTGTGATTTTATCTTGTTAATTAATATATAAAAATCAACGTTTTTAACTGTTCTTCAGTATTTTAACAAATATTTTGTAATAAAACCATAGATATTAAAGGCATGTATCACTTACCACGGATGAAGATGACAAAAATCAAGAACCTTACTCGGTAAGAGACAAAGTAAGGATCAAAAAATCATATCCCCTAAGGGCATCTTCAGTGCATGACATTCTATCAGAGTGTCATGGACTGCCACATCAACATTCCACTCACCATACAACTCTATCATTTTATACCCATACTCCATAATACTCCAATGAGTTTAATGGATTTTCACATCATATATATATATATATATATATATATATATATATATTATCTATAAATATAATTTTACCAACAAATTTAAAAATCTACTAAAAACAAGGAATAATACATTAAAATGAAAATGAAACGAAATTAAAATACATTTAATAAGTACGAGACTAAAATAACGGAGCATATTTGGGAACATTATTCACAAGCATGAAATTAAATCTAAATGTAGTTTATGTAATGTATTTTAAAATTAATGTAATATCTTATTAATGTAATGTATTTTGAAATTAATGTAATGTTTTATTAATTATGTTGTTTTTATGAATTAAGAAAAATAAAAATAAAAATTAATTTATTGATTAA